GGGGCAGGAGATCCAAGCAGCGGAGAGACGCACGAAAACAAACTGAGCGCACGATAAAATTCCTTTCGCTTTTGGCCGTACTCAGTGCTGGTCAAATGACGACGCTTCAGCGTAGCTTTCGTCGCGTCGCTACACTCGGATCTCTTGACTGTACTCGGCTTTGAAACTCTCAAACTAACCTCCATTGTTTGGTTAGGCACCGGCGAAAGCTACGCTGAGGCGTCGTCATTTGACCAGCACTGAGTACGGCCAAAAGCGAAGGGAATTTTATCGTGCGCTCGGTTTGTTTCCGCGCGTCTCTCCGCTGCTTGGATCTCCTGACCCACGGGCTTGAAATTCAAGATTCACTATGGGTTATTACCGCCTTGTGTAATGTGGACCTGTTTGTTCCTTACGGACATTCTGAAAACATTTTATCTCAAGAGCTATCTCCAAGAGTATTAGACTAAAATTTTCTAAAGGACTTCTTCTAAGCTACTTTGTGTAAATTACGCCCACTTGTGGCGCGATTTCATGGATGAGACAGCCGTCCCAAGGTGTGGTCAATTTCAGGTCCAGTAGGTACGTTTCTCGGTTGGAAGTTCTTCATGCCGTTATCGAAGATTACCTTCTGTGCTTACCTGCTCCATCCTATAATGCTGCAAATCTACAACTTCAGCCGGCCACAACCATTTCACTTCACCACGGCCTTTCAGATGGTAGGTCATATATTAGAACTGTGAATTAAACAGCCTTTCTGGGGTAAACTACATGGAATCGAAACTGTAAAGTGCCTGTTTCATGAATATAAATTTCTGACCGGAGCGTGCAGCTGGTTTAGTGCAATAGGTACAATAATTAGTTTCAATGAATGATAAATGGATTCTTACAGAAGGGAGGCTGAGTTTCCAGGAGACAATAGTCCTTCTCTTCTCTCTTTCAGCGGAACCCAATGAAACTCCTCCCATCGTGCACCCGAAAATAGGACTCCTCGGATTTTTTTCCTCCACTACTTCACCACCTGGCACCTAGACAATCGTTTTTGACTGGCAACCAGGTTACCCATCGAGTCAAAGTAGTGGTTGGCGCAGTTTGACGACGGGGGTGGTGGGGGGGGGGGCATTTTGTACTATCATTGCTTCCTTAGTTCCGGTTTACACTCTGGCGAAACCTGTGAACTCTTGTGAAGCTGGAACAAGGTCGTCAAGCCATCATGTTAAAACCTGTCAACTCGAGAAGAGGCTGTCTAGATAGGTCGACACGTCGATGGGAAGTAGCAAAAGTGCAAAATGCCCCCCCCCTTCCGTCGTCGAACTGCGCCGTAGTGGTTTTTCATTCAGTGTAGAATCCATGACTGGAAATCTTATTTTTCTAGAGGTCAGAGAGCTTCACTGGGTTTCCTTGAGGGTCGACATTTGTTTGATCTAGAGAAGTACCAGTGCGATGTGAAGAGAAAGGACCCTATTCCCGTCTAGACTCTCTTGCAAATGTGTCTTTCGAACTTTCTCGCATGCTGGCGCACAGATATTTCCACATTTTCACGGATTCCTTAGCCGAGTCTATTGAAAGTAGGCCTCTGGAAGTATGGAAACAAAGTCTCAATTATCAACCACGTCAAGCTCACTTCCAGGAGCCTTCGACGACGGCCCGATGAAAACTTTCGTTTGATTGCCGGTTTTCCCGATCAGACGCGCTATATACAGTCCATATCAGTGGGCGACAAGAAGAGTGCTTGCGGGAGGTCTGAGCGAGGGTCTTGGCGTAAGAGGAGCAAAGGACGCATGTGCATGAATAGATAGTCATCACGGGAATACGTAGCCGCCGTTGGGGCACTCCTCTTCGCCGATCGGGCACTACGCCCTAGTCGATGGGTGCGACAATTTCTCTTCTTTCTAGTGCGAGTGCGTCGAGTGTCTGTCCCTTCCTCCCACACGCGCCCACCCTCCTTGATCTGTTGAGTTCCTCCGTCAAACTCTACGAGTTGGGGTCGTGGCGTGTCCTCACCAATCTCAGCGCTAGGAATTGTAAATATTTGTTTCATTTTGTAATTTCAGCTCCGGCATACACTGGAGGCTATTTTTGTCTCGTATTTACTGGCGTTCTTCTTTGCTCTGGCGTTCGAGAAGCCGTTCAATGCCTTCGACGAAATGCTTATTCCTGTCAAAGGAAGAACATCCACTGTTACGAAGCGGAAATCTATCGAAATGGACGTTCCCAATGGCGAAACGCGTCCCCTCAAAAAGTAGTATGTGCACATATGCAAATTTGTGTGCAATCATGTGGACGTCCTTGAAATTCTCTGAAATTGTTGTCGCCCATTGTTGAAATTCAGCACCTTATATACTCTAGTTCGCTGCGGACGAAGGGGCGTGTCAGGCAGTATGAGTGTGTCACGTCGTCAGAGCCGTTCTCTGCCTTCTTGTTGAAGCGCGCATGCGACAAAAAGTGGTAGAACGAGTAATACGAACGATATGATACAGTCATATCACTTGCTCGCTTTAACAACTGGTGGAGAACGGTTTGGCACCGCGCCAAACTCATCCCGCCTGACACGCCCAACCGTCCGCAGCGAACTGCACTATACTTATACGGTCAGATCTGCTCATGATTATTATTTCGAAAATCACTAAAGCGATTTTTGTTTTTTGTAGTCATAATCAAGAGCGTGATGCATAGATTCAGGTTCTATCTGTATCAGGGTAATTTATCACAACTAAGATTCAGCACAGTTGTTACTTTCATGTCATGTTCGAGGGACATTTTAATTGTTATCTTGTAACACAAGAAAAATAAATCTACTTTAACATGTTCCAGACCGCGTGACACACATGGTGTGTCATGAATTTGTCTCTATGCGTGTTTTATTGGAATAATTTGGCTCTCCTTCATGTTCTACCGTTGTCAAAACACATCCTGGATTAAGGAAGATACTCACCTCATAAGCAATTGAAAAAAGGGAGGGAATTAGTGGTGAATTACTGATGAAAAATGATAAAATGTACGGCGACGGTCCGCAAAGTGTTAGGATGCTTGTAACTTTTTTCAATCAAAAAGCCTTCAAGGCAGCGCCCACGTTCATTTGATGTTCCCGCGCCCTCTCTGGATATCATAGCCCTCCCTATGAGGATGCAGTATGTACTAGTTTTGCATCTCAAAAAGGCGAGAGGATAGCGCCGTTCGCTAGTGAAGAGTCGGCCGCCCCGCCCACCTGGCCAGCATAGGGTTCTATAGGGCATTTTCCATGATTTTTTCTGCTTTTTTCTTCACTACTGGATCACGTATTATATGAGCTCCATAACTCATTATTCTTGAAAGCGGGCTCAGCCTTTAAAGGCTAAGCCAAAGCAGTTATGGCAGCCAGGTGGGCGGGGCGGCATCCTCTTCACAAGCGGGTGGCGCCATCCTCTCGTATTTTTGAGCTGCGAAATTAGTACATCCTCCACCCTTGTCGACAAAGCTACGATATCTAAGGAGGGCGTAGGAACATCAAATGAACGCGGGCGCTGCAGAGTCAGACCCACTGCGAAGCGTTGTAACGCTCGTCGACGCGCTACCAACAGTGCTCCAGTGCTGTAGACATGAATGCAGCCATAGAAGAGAATCGATCGGCCGGCCACTAATTATTTGAGAGAGTACAGAAAAGCAGG